GGTTGCAGTGAGCCGAGACTGCACCACTGCACTCCAGCCTGGGCGACAAGAGCGAAACTCTGTCTCTAAAAAAAAAAAAGAAGTTCTATCTTGACACAAGTATTTAAAATTTACAGTATTTAATTTCATTATTTCTCCATATATAGGATTTTCTTTAGTTTTTATTTTGAAATAATTACAGATTCACAGGGAGTTACAAAAATAGCAGTTTTCCTCAATGGTAAATTGAACTCCCAGCCTCAGACAATCCTCTCACCTCAGCGTCCCGCATAGCTGAGATGACAGGTGCACGCCACCGCCGTCCGTCTTCCCTACCCCAATTCTGCAGTTTCCCCGCAGGCATTGGCTACGCCTCCCAGATGATCGTCATCCTCCTCAACGTTTACTACATCATTGTATTGGCCTGGGCCCTGTTCTACCTCTTCAGCAGCTTCACCATCGACCTGCCTTGGGGCGGCTGCCACCATGAGTGGAACACAGGTACAGTCATCTCCCGAGGTTCCGCTTCCTCCTCCCGTTCTGCCACATTCACCGGAAGTGGGATTGTCCCTGTATCCCAGCTTAACACGGACACACCAGAAATCACCCAAGCAGATCATGGAGAGCTTATGTCAAGAATAAGATCGAGAATTCACCAGCCTCACAGGCAAAATGTCAGGAACTTTTTAAAGAAAACATTAACATCTTCAATGAGAACTGACCACTGTTATGTTGTTTAGCCATTTACTAAATCAACTTGGAATATGGTTAGTTTGATATATGGATACATGTCTTGTTCATTCATTTGTTTCTCATATCTTCTTTCTGATACATTTTAGGTCTTTCAAACTTGCAATTCATCCGGACTTGCTTGTCGGGGTGGCAGAGGCGGGAGAAAATCCGCATACAAGTGGACCCGCACAGTTCAGATCCATGTTGTTCAAGGGTCCGCTGTGATTTATAATAGCAATTGCAGTCGTGTGTCACTGAATGACAGGGTACACTCTGAGAAATGCACTGTTGGCATTTTGTCCTGT